TTTATGAATTAACCTGCCTATTGAAACTAGACCTAAACATTAATTCTCATCTCTCGAATCTCAAATCAATATTGTCAAACTCATGCATAAAAGATCAAGCCTAATCTAGTCACAGAGCAATAAATCAATCAATAGGAAATTAATGTAGCATTGATAATCAACAACAATAAATTACCCCTTCATATTATTTATGGATCCCCACAAACCCTAGAAAGGAAACTACTTAGACATAATCAAATATAAACTAAACAAAGCAATTAAAGGAGACATGATGAAAGAATTAAATTAAATAACTGAGATTAAAGTAGAAGAAATCGTTACCAAAGTAATCAGAATTAAGGAGTTGAATTAAGAACAAAGTTGTAGAGACAGAAACTAATCTAAAAGCTAAGTAGAGAGTGAGTCTAACAGAAGAAAATAAGAAAGAGTAAAAAGAGATCCTAAACTTGCTTAACGGAAAAGTATTTATATTAAGCAAGAATCCTAAACTAAAACAAACTTAAACGACGCTTAAAATCTCCTAATGCTGACACGCGCCCAATCGGGCCCGCCTTTTCTTCGGTAATAGCTTCTCTCGCACCCGGCCGGGCGCGAGTTCGGACACCAGTTTACTCTTCCCTGCCCGGCCAGGCGCGCCTTCGGGCGGGAGCTCTCTTGGCCGGGCGGCACTCTTGGGCTACTCCTTGGACTTCGATTGGGCTCCAATTCTTCGTGCCAATCCAGATTTCCTCTTCTAGTTTTGAATACTTGGTCCAAATGCCCCGGTATCACATATACCAAGCCCTTAATCACCGGTTCGATGACTCTAACCGGCCTTGGGCTATAAAAAGTGGTCTTGTTTCTCCAATGCTCGTAGATACTCCACAATATCTCGGAAAAAACTCCAAAAGTGCAAATCCCTACAAAAATCAACCAAATCTACGAAAACACTAGAAAACACCAATTAGTAATAAAAGTGGTTCTAAAGAGCCAAAAACACTACTAAATATGACCAAGGGACGAGGTAAAATACTATATAAAATGGACATATCATATATATAACAAATTCTACTATTCCATCCCTTTTTAATCCTCATTCCCCTAAATGAACCTACCAAACGCACGCGGTCGTGTTTTATTAAGTGTTACATTTTCTTTTTTAGCAATTATACACATTTTAATATTATATATCTCTCCTCTCGTGGTCCCTACACAAACCCAATATTTTTTTATTATTATTTCTTTCCTCTCACATTCATTATTTTTCAATAAATTATTTACCGCACTATCGTTCTTTCGAGTGAGCCCGGGTTAATATCAGAGATTAACATTCTAGTTTATCTCCTCTCACAATTTTATGCACTGATTTTTGTGCCACTTTACTTTTATCATTTAAAAAATAAAAGAAACTGATTAGGTTGTGAGTGGAGATATATTCAAAAATTTATCTCGGAGATAAACTTGAATTTACCCCTTTCTTTTACAAATTATAAATAATGCAATTATTCCACTTATCTCTTATTTTATTTAAGTCAATTAAATTACCTAAAATTATGTGTCGATCAAAATTTAACACTTATTCAAAACACGAAGGGAGTACATATTTTTCTATCCCTTACATCTTGTCTCTATTAATCTCTTTTTCCGAGGCATTTGGTATGAGGGATATGGATAAAATATGTGGATAAGAAAAAAATTATGGGTGTGAATAAAATAAAGTGTTATCATTTGATAAAAGTTAAGGATACAAGTAGAATAAGTAATAAAGTTACTAATATATCCTTACTAACTTTATTCTTTTCTTTTATTTTCTTTTCTTTTCATAAAGGGTATATATTTATTTTCAATTATAATCTCCAATTTTCCCTTAAACAAACGCCTACAAGCTGTTTGTTTGTGGGGATTATTAATGGGATAAGTATTTAAAATCCCTCATATCCCATTATCTCTTATTTGGATGAGAGAATACAAGATATCCCATGTAGAAGAGATAGGGATAAAATAGAGGGGAGGATAATTCAAAATTTTTAAAAATTTTTAATTTTGAAATTGCTACCCGCCTATTATAGGTGGGTTACGTATCCCAATTTAATTCCTAAATAATACAAAATACAAATTCTTATATAGACCTGGTTCACATTAATTTATTGTGAACTACTAATATTAGAGATGTCACGATCATTTTACAAAAAAAGTCACTATGTTAACATAAAAGGTTACTATGTTAAAAAATAAAAGTCATTGTAATATTATAAAGGATATAAAATGTATTTTTATAATGAAATTTTAAATATACTAGTAAATATGAATAATAAAGGTCAATATGTTAAAATGAGTTACTATGTTTAACATAATGTAGTACTTTAGGGTCGTATAATATTAAATCATTTAAATGTCACACAAGTTGTAACACCCCAATAATTCTCTCTTTAAACATGTGAGTACCCTGAACAAAATTCAAGAGGATTACTGGCGTGCTACCGCCACGTGTTCAAACATTAACGCTATATCAGAAAATTAGAAGCGAAAAAACTAATTCAGTTATAAATGAGTCTCAAACCAATAAACAAAACCAAATTAAATCTTACAACTTGGAACCATTAAGGCCCTTATTCAAAACCCAAATTAGTTAAAATAGTATAAAATGAAATTGAGTTTAATGAATTCAAAATTAAGTAGCAAAATAAGTTGTGAAAAGTAACTAACACTCCACTCAAAATCCCACAACCTTGATGTGAATGTTAAATGTGTAAGAACCTATGGTTAATCTGCTCCCCAATATTACAAGTGTAAAAATTAGATCGTCACAGGATCATTGAAAGGCGAAGTCCATGACCAAAGAAAAACACACAAAGCACGCAATCAGCAAATCTGGGTACATACAAGCTGGGAAACATAATAAGAAATCCCTAGCATGCTACTAATATTCAATCATCACACATTATCAAACTATAGACTCAACACGCTACTCAACTATCAGTTTACTAAGACTTCACTATTTCAAAGTAGTTAACTCATCATTTTTATTCATTGTATTAAGCAATAGACAAGGTTGTCCAACCCATGCTCCATTTGGAACATCAATAAAAGAAAAACCCCATGCCTCCTTTTGGAAACATCCAACGACCAAAGGCGTGACTCCGTGACCGTAGCTAGTATGAGATCTCATCTAACTTCTAGTTTTTGAAAATTATTTGAAATAAGAGACTTGTAGATCAGACGACCTCAAGAAAAGTGCACGGCTAATACCCCGTGTACCCCAACCCCTGATTGTCATTACTCCAGATGTGCACAAATCCAGAGTTATAATTTATTGATCATCCATCTTGCACTTTACGTGATTTACAAATTTAAACTTGGTGATGACTCATTTGCAAAACAATACAATCAATCCAATATCAATTCAATCAAGTAAAGCAAACTTCCAATTTCAATTCTTGATTATTAGCGGATTTGGTCATATTGAGTAAGAGAAACTCTAATGGCAAGCTAATTGTTAAATTAGCTTGTCATGCCACCTAGGATTGCAAAGCTAATCTACTTTCTAGCTACTTTATCCTACAATGGTTAAGCTAATTTCCAATAATTTTTTTTTGTTCAATTTTTTTTAATTCCTAGAAGTATTATTTATTTATGAATTTTTTTTATACAGACTAGCTAATTTGTTTTATACTACAGTATTTTTTTTGGGTATAATAGGTAGGGTATCGTAACAATTACTTTGCTAATTTCAAATTAATAATTTCGTATAATAAAATATTTAAACATTCAATTAATTCAAAATACAGTATTCGATTTAAAACAAGAAGACTTAACAATGAAATAATTTTTGGAAGGAAAAACTACAACATTATTCTAACAATAGCGTAAACAAAATATACAAGACATTCCATGAGAAGAAAACTAAGAAATTAAACATAATAATAAATGATGCTCAATTAAGAGTTTGGCCTCCAAAACAACTTCATATATGTTCCACTAGATCAGATCAGCCTTAAGTTGATGATATAACAACCATGCTAAAAGCACTCTAATAGTGAAAAATAGTGCCAAAAAAATCTTTAAACCAAAGTTAAAAACGTAAAAACAAAAAAATAAAAAATAAAAAAAATAAAGTTGATAAATAGCACCGCTGCAATTTTTGAGGATTTCTTGGTCTCTAGCTACTTGAGACCAAGATGGTCTCAACCAAGTAAAAAAAAAAAATTAGCTGGAATTGAAAAGGCTAGAGTGCAAACAAAATAGCTGAATGAAAGAAAAGAAAAGGACAACAGGTGGTGGGGGACCAGTGTTTTTGTACTGTCAAATGGAAATTCTCACATTTTTCACCCCAAATTTTTTCCCCCAAATTCATGGCGGGCCCCTTAAATTTTCCCTGCTCTTCAAATTATTTGGGAAAAATTAATGGATTCCCATCCATTATATTTTGAAGGCTCGACTACAACAATAATCAACAAATCAGCTGGGAGGAGTTGGAGTATTTTTATAGCTGGATTTCTTGGCGACTCAAACCCTAGTTGTCTGTTGAATTAATTCACGCAGTTTGACTCAAATTCTTCATCAATTAATAACTTCAACAAGTTTACCGGTGGCGAAATGATGAGTAATTTTTCGAATAAAGAGATTGAGATGATTGAGGTTAGTGTTTCGAACAATCTTTGAATTGGTTTAGTTTGCTCTACAAACTCAAGTAACTGAATTAGTTTTTACTGATAAATCAATGCCTTATTTGCTGGTAGTTGTAAATCAATGCACTTAATGGGTAGTAGTTGTAATTGCTGAGATAATATGAAGATGGTAGTTGTAAGAAATTGATTAAATTGAACTGGGAGAGAGTTTAGAAAGGATGCAGGTTACAATAATTTACATTCAAAATGAATACCATTAAATATCAGATTGGTACCAAGTACCTTCTAATTGGTATTAGCAAAAATGACAATATGGTACCATCTAAAATAAAGATCATATATTTTTGGAACTCTCATTCCCATTAACTGAGATGGAATTGCATATCAATTCAGGTGAAATGCGTAAGATATGGAACTGAGATTGAATTTAAGCGATGCATTGTGGTTCTGTTTGTATGTTCTTAATTCAAACATAATTCATGAATTGAATTAGTGAAGGTGGATGTAAGTTAATGATATGAAATATGAAATAGATTACAATCAAATGGTAATTGATGGATGTACGGTTGATTTTGTCGGATTGTATGTTTGTTGGGGTAATTTATTTGATGAAATATGAAATAGATTATGGTAATTGATGGATGTACGGTTGATTTTGTCCTCGGTTTTTAATTTTTAATCCTGCCAATTTGGACAAGTATGAATTTTGTTATGTATAGCAGTGGTGTTGATTTATTGTAATGTTGTGAAGATTGTTGCTTTGTACTTTATTATAATGTATTATAATGTGAGAAGAGATAGTACTATATTAATATTTGGTTTGTTTGGGTAGGATTGTAACGTTGATAACCAGAATAGTGTCATGGAGCACATATGTTAACTCCAGTTCAGATAGCTCGTCAGATAGTGATGATAGCTTGCAATTTGATTTAAATGAGGATTTGAATATCGATGGAGGGGATATTTTTTATTTAAATAAGGACCCTGCTGACTGTAGTACTAGTGATTTGAATAATGACCCTGCTTAATGTAGCTTTCCCAGGGATGTTGGTGAGTTGAATAATGATTGTGGACACAACTTACACAATTCGGGAACAAGTAGATGTATAGGTGCAGCTGCATTACCTCATCCAAAAGTAGGGATGTAGTTTAGTTCTTGGGATGACATGAATAATTACTATCGTACATATGGAGAGCAAGAAGGATTTGGGGTTGTGTGTATAGGTGGGAGAAAGAATGATGTTTACAACAAAGCGGCATATAGCAGTTATGTTTGGAAGTGCGAGTGTTATGGAATTACAACATACAAGAAGAGGGTTAATGGGAAAAGGGTTGTGGTATATGATGAGCCATCGAAGAAGAGGAAGATTAAAAAATGTGAATGTCCAGTGATGTTGTATGGGCAAGGCCACAGTGACGGTGTGTGGCAGATTTAAAAAGTCGTTAATGAGCACAATCACACTGTGAATCCTGAGCTATCAAGGCACATTGCAATGTACAGAAAGCAAAAGATTACGAAGCATTTGGAGCAAAGGATTGAAACTGACCATGCTTCTGGTGCCTCGGTTAGTCAGATTTTCAACAACATGGCGGGCCAAAGACACGGAGTCGGGAATGTTGGTTTTACGAAAAAAGATATTCATAATTTAGTGAATAGGAAGAGGAGATTGAAGTTAAAAAACGGTGATGCATCGGCTATGCTTGAGTATTTTTATAAAATGACTGCCGATAACCAAAATTTTTTCCACATGCATCGGCTTGATCAAAAGGGCCGATTGAAAGAAATCATGTGGGTTGATGCTAGGAGCAGGAAGGCGTATCAGTATTTTGGAGATGTTGTCTGCTTCGACTCCTTACCTTACTAACCAATACGAACTTCCCTTCTCAAATTTTGTGGGTGTCAACCACCATGGTCAGACTATCCTATTAGGTTGTACTTTGGTATCTGATCGGCCCCCTAGGTGTCGTTAGTTCCTAAAGGTCGAGTCAAGAATAAAAAGAAAACCCACGTCCTAAACTAACCAAAGGTAGCATAGTGGAAGAGGGGTCGAATCCTCAGGGAAGGTCAAACGTCTCTTGCTTAGATCACTTATAAGTCAATTGAAAAGGGAGGAATAAATTTTTGATGGATTTATCTATAGCTACTAGGGAAACAAATAAACTAAGAACTAAATTAACAAGCAACAAGCAGAGGTATAAAACTTCGAAAATCAAGGAATAGCAAACACTAGGGGATAGGGGAGAATTCCTAACTAACAATGATTTCAACAATTAGAGGCAACAAGAATGGTTCAATCGGTCAACCAAACAATTGGGGCCTATGGTCCAACATCTAGGATTCCCTCTCGGGCTCACCTAAACACCGCCTACCCAACCCCGCCTCGGTGGTCGAGGTCATCCCTAACCTAGTCATCATCACATACAAGCTCACTCTCGCGCAACTAGCATGCAACACAAAATAGGGTCTTAGAGGTGATCAATCTCTAATTCCTAACAACTAAAACCTAGGTTGGAATCAACTGCAAAACTTCTCAATCTACCCAATCTTGCACCACATATCATTCATTTCATCATTAGTTCATCATTTCCCCCTCCCCTAGCTAGAAACCTAGCCTAGAGAAGGAAGGGTCATACCAAAGCACACAAGAACATTAACAAAAGCAAAAACTAAGTTTAATGAGAGAAACATGGCTAAAACCAGAAAATAGGATGATTAAACTTTACTAAAGAAGTTAACTTTGAAGAGAATATGTTAAGTCTACTTGTAATCTATTCTAAATAGCATGAAATCTAAGCAAATAAGGATAATATTATACTAATAGCAAGAAAATAAAGGATCAAAACCAGAAATTGCAAGTTTAAACAAGGAGGCAACTAAGATATTAAACTATTCTATTGACTTGAAATAACAACTAAAGATAAGCTAAAACTAATTAAAATAGATAAATAAAGCAATAAATAAAGAGTAGGGATAGAAATAATACCAAAAGATTTAATCTTGGATTGAAAATGAAAGAGAGTAACAAAGAGTAGTGTTTTTTTATCTAATGAGGAACTAAACCCTAACTAATCTAAAGTGCAAAAGAAAGAAAAAAAAAACAATAAGCTGAAATCTGATTTTCTAATATTTCTCTCTCTACACACCTCTCTCCCCCCAATTACAAGGAAGAGAGGTATTTATACCCTCCTCTAAAACCTAACCCAAATCAAGGCCCAAAATTTTAGGCATCACGTGCAGAGTAAAATAATTAGAGCCGTCGGCCTACGCGTGTAGCAGAGTTCAAATCGGTCAGGGGAACACGGAGCGCCCGCTCTAAGGCCAGAGCGCCCGCTCTGAAGTCTCGCAGAAAATGCTCTGATTATTCTGGGAGCTAGAGCGCCCGCTTCAACATTAGAGCGCCCGCTCTGAGGGTTGGGTACTTGGTTTTTCTGCAGCAAGGAATACAGAGCGCCCGCTCCATATCTAGAGCGCCCGCTCTGAACTCTTCTTTCCTTCATATTTTGGGCTCTAATGCTCCAATCCCTTTGACTCCAAAGCATGCCTAATCCTTGCATCCAATCCTTGCTTTCTTAGCCACGGGAGGACCTGTAAGATGGAAAACACAAATCATAGGAAAGGTTCTAATAGGAGCAAATTGAAATGGGTTAAAGGAGAGGGAATAAAACCTTAGGAAATGAGCCAAAAATGACTCAAAACCACTCCAAGTAACAAATATGCTCAATAATAACAAAACTAAGCTAAAATAGAGGAAAAAGGGCAAAAAAAGGGCTCAATCGGGGAAGAAACGAAGTAGAAAAGTGGGCCAAATGGCCACTGATCAAATTCCCCCCAACTAAGTCCTTTGCTCGTCCTCGAGCGAAGTAAAATAAGCAAACAAAAATAACCAAAAGCATAAGTCTATACACTAACTCACTTTCGTAGGAATCACGGTCGTTTTTAGCGTAAACGACAAGCCATTTAAACCCCCAAGTCACTTAGGAGGACGAGTATGCTCTCGTGAGGGTTTTCGAGAGAGATTAACCCACAACTTCGCACTAAATCAAGGCAAGGTTTTTAGAGACAAATAGAAAAATAGAAAAATAGAAAAATAAAAAGGGAAAGAAACACCAACATGAATGGTTGAACTTTCACTACAATGCAATCACAAGGATGCGCAAGCTTCTTGACAAGATAGGTGGACAAGCTAGCTAATGCTCCTGGTTGAAGGCCACATAGCTCATGCTCAAAAGCTTGGACTATAAAGATCCTATCCTCCAATTGTCCCTCACCAAGGCAACCTTCCTCATCTCGATCATGTACACTAGGCGGCTAGTCGTCTCGAATTCCACAAGAGAATTAGGAGAACAACAAGGAGGTGGGCAAGGTAGGATTGCCCTAACTTAGTAAATGCAAATCCAATCTAAAAGCTCGACCCATGACTCTCTCCACCGACATTGACTCAATCACTCAAGGTCCAAAGGGCTTTTAAGGTGCAATGAAATGGCTTGGGGTAAGGGTTAAAAAAAAAAAAAAAAAAAAAATTCTGGCTGGTGGTGTAAGCTCCTAAAAGTGAAACATTAATGAATCGAGCAAAACCAAGGCCAACTAACCTTAGTTGGTGGGTATTATACCCCCCAACTAACTCTAAACTATATACAAGATCGATGCCTTACTTATGCATTCTTATTCCAACCTTTTTTTTTTTTTTTTTTTTTTTTTTTTTTTAATACCAAAAGATTTAATTGGGGAAACAAACACGTCCCTTGCAATTTACATTATAGACATCCACTATGCCAAAATTTTAACTTAGATACAAAGCCAAGCTCGAGTTTCACTCATTTCTATAAAGGTGAAAATAAAATTAGGTTCATAAGGCTTGTAATGCGGGTAGACAAAAAGTGGAAGGCTCAAGGGGGTACGCAAAAGGTGAATGTAAACCCAAAAACCTTAAATTTGAAAGTAAAGGTGTCCTAGGAAATAAAAAAAGGATCTAAAAAGAACGAAAAATTATGCCCTTATCCCGAAATGAATGCCTTTATCATCCTATGAGTCGATTCGGTCGCGATCTCAAGAGTCAAATGGAGCGAGTTTTAGATCAAGTAGCAAAACACTAAGTCTCCAAATTTCTAGCCACCTAGCTTTCATTCACAAGATGAGCTACGCCCAACAACCACAAACCGAGGACAAAAGGGATCAAGGCCTAAATAGCCCAAGATATGTCCAATAGGAGTCATTTGAGCAATGAAGCTATGTGATTTTCAACCAAAACATTAAAGACCTTGTAAACCTATCAAACCAAGGAACCAACTCATATATGTTCATACATTGTAGCTACTAATTCAGCCAAACACAAAACAAAGTTTTAACACTTGCCTTGGATAACACTAAGAGAAAGAAAAAGAAAAAGAAAACATTGAAGAGCAACAAGAGAAGTAGGACTTCGTTTGGAATAAATTCCATAAGTGGGGGCGGTAGAAGGTACGTGAATTGAATGCACGTCCTCCTAGGCATAAAGCCGGGCGCCTCTCACGAGGTGTGAACCTCGCCCCGTTGCTACTCTTCAACAAAAATAGAAAGGAAGGGATAGAAGGATAGAAGAGGAACTCAAGAATGAAAGCATCAAGTCACACAATTCTCAGTACACAATTCCAAGTATGCAAACATCCATGAATCAATCAACTTAATCCTAACTCCGCTCCTAGGAACTAAGCAAGATAAAATAAATAGAAGAGAGTTTGGAAAGATCTCACCGGAGCCATGCCAATCCAAAACATAAAAAGAATGATGGGTTCCAAGTCAACCAACCTTGGCTCCTTCCAAAAGTAGTATACAACCTGCCAAAAAGTGAGAAATACCAGAACTCCAAAGCAAAAAGATTAGAAAACAAAATAAAGAAGAAAAAGGAAAAGTGATCATGTATAATACAAACCAACAGATACAAGCCAACAGATTATTAAGCACAAGCAAGCATAGGAAAGGTTGCTCATCCCCAAAATGATCTTTTCATTTGCCCCTAGATATGAAAATGCTAAGGCACCCCCCCAACTAAAACCAGGCACCGTCTCGGTGCGATAAAACATGTAATAGTCAAGGGTGGGGGGGGGTCAAAAGAAATGATCATCTATTCCTCAGAGTCTTCCTCTTCCTCTTCCTCTCCCTCTACAACTA